CGACTAGTCTTCATGACGAAGCAGGTATTCGAGCAAGAAACCATGTTTTCAATAATTTTTTCCTCACCTCACTTTAGCATAATACAGTAATTATTCCCTCATTAGGATATATCGCTATGATGTAAGGTATTAAGGCGTACAGTTTTTGACTACCTGGATTTTTCACCCAGAATTATTTTTCCTACTTGATGGATTCTTAAATGAGCTATGGTAAGAATGAATTAACCTAGGGTGCTTAAAATGAGTTGTATATCGATAGAGAAATTTCCCACATCGAAATGGGTTTTTCGTTTAACTGCACTTAACATTGCTCCTAAAGCGGTTATCATATTCAGACTGGACAGCAGTTTCCACCTCGCCCCTGATGGAATTCGATTCTGGACTGTGAGTAGCTTGGCGACGCTGCGCTGGAGAAAATGTAGCAGCCCGGTCGCACTTAGCTAGGCAATTAAAATGAATTAATTTTGGGACGCATAAACTAGAATAGCGACCATAGCAAAATTATATAGACAAAGTCAACTTGCAGAGGGTCTTGACTACAAACTAAACAGAAACAACATAATCTAATAAAAAATATAATTGAACACCTGTGCATCATGTATTATTTATTCATATATCACCATTGTATACGAACTTTTAATGATACTGCAACTAGGTCCTATTAATTCCAAATATTAGGCATAAGCAGAGCCTTCTAGGTTTCGAAGTATTTTTGATTATAATGAAAAAGCATAGAGTAAAGAAGCCTAAAGTGAAGCAAAGTGGCAAGATAAAGACTGGATGTAAATCAGAACTAAGTCAGCCTAGGTCGCTTTGGATGATTTAAGAATTAAACTATCAGAGTTTACTACGATGGGATGTGTAAGTTTTGAGATGCCATTACATTTCACACATAAGGCTATATCAAACAGAATGGGCTGCAGTTTCAACTTGCCCCAATGAGATTCGATATCGGTTCATGCGTATCGTGGTTATTTTGCCATTTCACACCATAGCCTAAGATGATAGGGCAGATAAGATATTCAGGAATGGCCAATTCTATCACAACTCAGATTTTTTGTGTGGTTGTCGGTTCTGCATACATTAGCTTGTCATTTAAATTGATTATGCTACTTATTTCCGATATAAGTAGGTCTAGATACATTCAGTAATTCTTGAATAAGAGTGGTTTAAAGAGTAATAATTGTAATGAATTCACTCTATTTCGTTTAAGGTGGTGAAGGACAGGTAGTAGAATTTTCCCATAATTATATGAGTAGAGCTGACGTTTCCATTGGATTTCACATTGCCTTGCTTTCCCAAAAGTTGTTCTCATCCAG